CTTGTTACATACAAAACATATCACGTCAGTCGTGAAGAATTGTGTAAAATCTGTAGAAAACCCTACCAGCATCGGACCACACAATTAAAGTATTTTTCTGCACTACTACAAGAAATTTTGAGTATGGGCAAAATTTCCAATATACCGAAAAATTTGAAATTTCCAGAAGTTTTTGTAGTTTTTCAAAAATTATTGAAATTTCCGGTATAGATTTGGGATTTTCCAAAAAAACTACTGGAATTTTCAAAATTTCAGGTAGTTATTCACCAAAAATTTACAAAATTTCGGTAAAAATGCTTGACTTTCAAAAAATGCGTACCAGAAATTCCGATTACTCTACCGATTTTTTTTTTGTTTTTGGCATGTTACTAAAAGTGAATTTTTTTTTAAAGATAAATTTTAATTGGTAAATAATAGCAGGGATATTTTCGAAAATATGGAAATATAGGGGAGTGTCATGTACAACTGAGGGATTGACAAGCTAATGCTCCTTTAACGGTGTATGCAGTAGAAGTTGATGGGCTCCTAGGATAAAAAAAATTGCGCTTTATGGCTCTTTACTTTCCATTCGTCATTTGGCTCATTTTTTAGGTTTTAACTTGTCACCCCCACACTTATACTTGGCAACCCCATATTTAAAGTACTTTTGTCATTATACCCTTTTATAAATACTGGAATTTTTTGAAATTTACATGTTGATACCAGAAATTTGTAGTCTGTACCAGAAATTTTGTAAATTTCCATTTTTTTACCGCAACAAAGACACATGTATCGTAAATTTAGAATTTCTAGTAAAAACATACCGAAAATTGTGAAATTTTCGATAGAGATCTAGAGAGGTTTATCAGAAATTGTGAAATTTCCTACAGAAATCTAGAGGGGTTTACTAGAAATTGTGAAATTTCTGGGAAATACCACAAAATTCCGGAAAATTTTAAAATTTTCGGTATGTGTCACAGAATTTCAAAAAAGTGATTAAATTTTCAGTATTTTTCACAGAAATATGTTCAATTTTTTCTACATAACTGATTCGATAAATTTCCCGGTATAATATACACATATAATAAAAACTGTGCTACATACAAGATTACAAAACAAATTAGGATGACTTCCTAACTCCATCTTCCCAATGCCTAATTTGTCCTACCTATGCTTATTCTCATGCTTTTGCATCTTCAGTACAGTTATGTCTCCAACGGTCAGTAACGGGAGGCAATGGACTATCAGGTTTAAATTTTACATGAATCCAATTATAATTGTTGATAAAACCAACAACAATGGTTTTATGTCTGCTCGTATACATAGTTGGAACTAAGGTAAAAGGGGAAAGGTAATGCTAAGTCTCTTTTACAGGAATCAAATATGACATTGTATCTACAAGCAATAGGGTAACTCATTTATCAATAACCTTCACACTCAAGTGTTCTACTCGTAACACATTCCTAACTGTAGCGATCGTGTCATAGAATAAATTGAAAAACAATTTAGGGTGTTGATGAACTTTAGTATCTAATTGCGTCTGAATCAAAGGCAATGACTCTTCGCCTCATCCAAGTAAACCTGCAATAGCCCAAAAATAACAATTTTCATGGCCGCCCACAAAAACAATGTCATCAATGTATGGATGTAAGAAATGAGAAAAATGAGACAAGTAAAGATGCCTCGAAGATGCAATGGACGATTGACTTTGACCTAACATACTTGACGGTTGACTTCTAGTAGGTTTCGTGCATGATCTCTTTGTAGGCTAACTCCCCTGAGAGTTCTCACGATACTACTAGTGTGATGGATCATGATGAACATCACTCTCTTCACTCTTTTTACTCCTTTTATTCCCCCTCTTTGACTTGTACTTCATCGGCGGTGGACACCCTCTTTTTACTCCTTTTTCTTCAACACCCTCTGAGCTATAATACCCAAAGTGCTGAAATATGTCTTCAACTCTTCACACTCTACTCCTAAATCTAATTGTGTATCGCTTTCTTCATGACTGACATGATACTCTTCAATGTGTAATTTCTTTAAAAAAAACATGAATTGGTTCTAAAGGAGCAAGATTGCTTTATATTTGGAAACCGGCAAGTTGGCACGCACAAGGTAACACTTGTGTTGTTCTAATGAAGCAACCACAAGTATCCTGGCTTGCACCAATAAATTTTACCCTTTCTAGTAACTTTCTAATGTGTTATATACACTATCTTAAAACAAACTCGTGCAAGTTGGTATTGAATGGAGTGGTATACCAATGCTTAATATTGATAATACTTTTTTGAAACGGGACTCTGATTGAACCTAGCTCAACTTCAACATGGTGTTCACAGCACCCCAACATCGGCATAAATCTTCCCATCTTGTAGCCAACATGTTTTTTGGACTCTAACATGCAGACTCCACCCTAAAAATAATAATTGGAAATATATGTTAAATTATGTTTAATAATGTTATAACATCAAAATAACGTCCATGTACCTGTTCATTGTTGTGTTCCCTAAATGAGTGACTTTGTTAGTCCAAGCAGCAACAAACCTCTCTTTATAAAGTGTCAACCATATTTCACTCATATACTTAACAAATCAAGGAATGTCAGCCAAAACAGTCTCAAAGTGCTTCAAGTGTGCAACAAACTTAGTTTCTCTATTAGCATACATGATGTTGTTCCATCGACCCATGACATGTTCTTTTCTTTCTGATTTAACATACTCTTTACATTTCATACTAACATTTTTTTGAAATATGGAACGAACACAACATATGAGTTGAACTTGGAAACATAATTTTCATGGCATTCATCAACGCAAGTTTCTGGTTCATCACTACAACCTTCGGTAGCAAATCCTCAGAAGAGAATAACTCTTTGAGCTTCTCTCGTGCTCATTTGAAGTTCTCCTCCCTTTCATGTGCCAAATAGGTAAAGTCAACCGAAAATGTCAACTTTGTTAACGTAACACCAACAATCTCAAGCAGTGGTAGCCGGTACCTGTATGTTCAAAAGATATCAAAAATTTGATATATCAAAATATGTCCAAAAGATATAAAAAATCAACAATGTACAATAAAAAATCAACACTAATTGAAACATATGTAACAGCTTCACTGAATCAGGATGTGTTCATAAGATATCAACAACAACATTTAAATCTTCCCTATTCTAGTCCAACACATGTATTTTTCTCCATAACTAAGACTCAACAACATTTTCATTTTCGTCACTGGACCTCTCTTTCTCGCATTTTATGTAGCTATAAATTTATACACCTGGGTAACAGTGGTAAGATTTTCTGGATCTTTGTCTTTCAAATCAGCAACTATGTATCGTGGAGCCATGTTATACTTCGTCATGCCATTTATAAATTGTTTTCATGAACTTTTAAACAACCTAATATGTCATAGCCTTCTAAACCCTTAGATAGTTTATGATTGTACAACCCACACCTAAGTATCACCTTCTAACCGCTACTACTCGATGCAGATCTCAGCCTAAAAGGATATTTCACTTTCATACTATAAATGCCCTCTGAGGATTTATTGATTTCAGATTAATTCTTCCTTTTATAATTTCCTCATCTCTCATAACCCATAATCAATTTATCTTTCCTACCTTGCTTCCCATTTGTAGTATTAGAACGAATCGTCACAACAATAATACCATGTGTTTGCCAATATTTTGTGTTTGTGCTAATACTTTAGATCGAGACTCAAATATATGTCTTTTACATAATATAAAAAGTGTACTATCAATATCATATAGAAGTGTGAAAATATTTAAATTAAACTTGTTACATAGAAAACATATTGCGTCAGTGGTGAAGAACTGCGTAAAATCAGTATACGGATTTATAGAAGACCATGTCGACTCCGGATCACTCAAATAAAGCATTTTTCTGGTTTTTCACTGCTACCGAAAATTTGGAGTTACGAGCAAAAACTTTGGTATGCTAAAAACTTTAAAATTTCTAGTTTCTGAAAATTGTTAAATTTGTGGAAGTTTTTATTTTTTCTTTCGAAAAATTTGACAATTTTTTGTATGGGTTTAAGATTTTTCAGAAAAATACCGGAATTTTTTAAATTTCTGGTATTTCTTCACGGAAAATTTTTAAAAGTTCGATAAAAATGTTAAATTTTCCAAAAATGCGGAAAAAAATGCATATCAAAAATTTCTTTTGTACTTTTCGAAAATTTCATTTTTGAAATGTTAGTAATAGTGTAAATTTTTGAAGAAAAAAAAATTAAATGGTAACTAATAACAAGAATATTTTAAAAAATTTTAAATCGTAGAGAGTGACAAGTATAAATGTGGGGTGACAAATTAAAAACTCCTAATTTTATTTATGGATTTAATTGAAATACATTGTTTATGAATTTAATTGAAATACACTGAATAGTGTAAAATAATTTTTACACTGTCAGTTCATTATAGACATTAGATATAAAAAGAAATTTGAGTTTTATTTTAATAATTTATAAAATAATACAAATAGATGATAGTAATAAATTTAGGGTGTAAAGTGATTTGAAATGCTCAAGACAGTGTGTACATATAGGCAAAATGCAAGTGATTTGAAAAATACAATTCAATCGGCAGCCCCGCAAGGATATCCAATTGCATGAGGATAGGTTCAAATATGTGCGACACTTTGCATATTTATGTTTAAAGAGTGAAATTTTAGCCCCTATACTATTTAGAAACAAAAATGTGGATCAAATTCATTAATAAAATAAAATAGAGACCAAAAATATAATTAAGAAAAAACTTTTGTCAATCCCTTGATAATCAAACAAATTCATCAAAAGAATGAACTAACACATACAATTGATTTCTCAAGCCCAAAAAAAAAAAAATACATGCAATTGATTCTCTTTCACTAGTCCTCTAACTCTTAAGACATCATATTTCGAATTGTTAATTCTCAACTGCCATGAAATTCTCAATTTAATCAAAAAAACTAAGTTGTGTATGATCAAATGGTATTTGAGAGCAAGAATCAGCTCAACTATAAGCTTTAAACTTCCTTGTATTTGATTAGACAGTCATACAACCGTGACCCAAGATACTCTGCAACCTCAGGATGTTTCACCTGTAAAAGAAAAATGACAACAAAGGAAATGTCAGAAAGTAACATGAACACTTTTCAACTTCTCATATTTTAAGAAGCATGTTCAAAATGACAAAAAAATATTACCATTGCAATATTGATAGAATCACATTTAAATTGAGCATGGAGATTTGTTTCTATACCGCGACCCTGTCATAAGAAATGTGTCAGTGTTTAAACTCACTACGCACACCAATTTCTGACAAGGTTTAGTATATTGGCCTCATTGGAGGATGAAGATTCATACCATCCCTTCTAAAATGACAAGATCTACATCACTGGCAAGGCAATTAAGCTCTTGTGACACCTTTGTAAGATCAATAACCTGCAATCCAAAGAACAAAACAACAAAGAAGCATGCAATCATGTAATCATCATACAAGTCAATGATTTGACAGTATAGGCCATAAAATAAAAGGAAACCAGAATTTTCCTAATATAACAAACAATATTTCTGATAAAAGTCTTACAGGTAAACCATTTCCAGAGTTGGCAATTAAAAGATTTGAAGTGCTGACACCCAAGAGACGTCCTTCTTCATCCTTTAACTGGCAACCAACATGGCAGAGTTAGGAAAGGAAACAACTTCGGTTATAAGTTATATTGAAAATTTGTTTAAATTAATTTGTGTTACCTTTGATACAATTTCAATTAGCTCAGAGTAAGTCACATCATTGATAGAAGGTGTGTCATTAGCAGCCAAAACAACCTGCATTTAAAATCTCAAACAACTTAAAAATGGACTATGGATCATGTCTTCTACAACTAAGTGTTAAGTGGATCTAATTAAAAATCTTAAAACAAATTAAAAAATCTGAAGCTCCCTTGTAAAGAAAAATGAATTCCAGGTATTTCAACACATTGATTTATTGTGTGCAATAATAAAAGTGCTACCATTATCCTCCTCATCCTCACCCCACTGCAAAAACACAATTGCACCAAGAAAAAAAAAACCACATAATTTACATGGTTCGACAGTTGTTGCCTCTGTCTATAAACATAGACGCTTCAACAAAAGAACATATAACTTTGTTTTGGCAATTGGTTTCAAACTTCCTGACCAGAAAATACAGTTGAAAGAGAAATAAATTGAAGTGTGCAAACCTGACTCCCACGCCGAAGGAGCTCCCTTGCAAATGGCAAAATACCTAAAATAATATCTGCACCGGAGTTATCAACAAATATGAGAACCTGCCATGAAAAAGAAAATGATTATGACACTACCCTTGGACAAAAAATTGTCAGAAGACATAAAGGGCTTTATAAGAATTGTATATTTCTTTAGCCATACTACACTTGCCTTCTTCCAGGACTTTTTGCTCCATCTCATTTTGAGAGTGTCAAGGTCATCAATAATCCAAGGTCGAGGGAGAAGATTTTCACAAGTAGTCGAAAACGACATTCCATCCCTAGAGAAAACTTCTGCAAGCTTCAAGAAATTGAGGGAAGAAAAAACTAACACATCAACAACAACTACTTATTATATAATCCTCCAAACTTTGGCATATGATTGTAGTAAACAACAGTCTTCTAGTAGGCATATAAATTCATTTTGATACAAGGTTCCCATGCACATTGTCTGCAAATGGTTGTACTAAAACAATTCTCCATATAGTTCAGTTAAATTCATACTAGCCTCATTCTCAATTTGTGCGAGTTATTTCACAGCAATTAAGTTCATTTCTTTAATCAATTGTTAGCTACCATTACACCAGAAGTGAACAAATTTACATATAGAAAATCAACCTACCTCAGCAGAACCAAGATCAAATATGTTCCCTGCGAAAATTCCTCTAACTAAATTCTCAAGTCGCTTGCCTTCATCTTCAATGACATCATTTAGACGAACAACATTCTCAAATAGAGAGATGGCTTTTGCATTCTCTTCATCCTGTTGTATTCAATCGTAAGGGAATTACAAATCATGGCCATAATAACAAATGGTAAGGGCCCGTTTGTTATATATTAAAAAAGCGGTTTATCTTTGTATTTTCAAAATTGATTTTTCTAAGAACTTCTTCAAAAAATGTATAAATTATTTCAAACTCATTGTTCTAAATTAAGAGTAATTTTGACATCCAATAACTTAAATATTCATTAAAGATTTTAACATCTTGAAAATACATAATTTTCAAAAAGGTACATGTCAAAAATAATTTCATGAAAAACTATTCAAAGTTTAATGATTTTTTGAAATTTTAACATCCAAAAAAAGTCATAGCAAAAGGATGAAATACATAAAATAATTTTTTATCAGAAACTATCCTCAGAAGTGCATGATGATTTATTGATAGTTAGAATAATACTCCATCCCATCTCTCATTGACAATGAAAAGTAACGGTGTTAAATTTCTTCAACTTTGGGCAAAAAAATATGAAAAGTATGCAATTAAATTTTGCTATATTCTTGATGCAAGATGTTAAATTACTTCAACCCCAATAATCAGATATTCATACTTTTCTTCCATATTTTAGCTGAATATATTAGCATTTATCACATAGAACAGCAGATTTATTGCTGAAACATGCCTTGATTTTCTTGAAGATATCTCTGAATCCCATTTCTTTAAGGACTTCCTCACGAAGTCTGCATAGAAGCTAGAACAAAAACACAGAATTACAAAAAGTGAAGAAAAACACAGAAGGGGAAATCAGACATATACCAAACATTCTACTTTTTATTATTTTTCTCTTTTGCACGAGTTCAAGTAAAGAACATACAGGGATATCAAGAGGATTGCCATAACTTGCAGGATCTTTCTTCAAATCTTCAAGTATTTTAGCATACCTTTTTAAATCAAACAGAATATGCAATATTGCAATTAACAACAATTTGAATATTTTAGGGTAATGGCAGTACAACCCTGATATCCATAAGAAACATTATGCCTTCCTGATAATTTCAAAAAAGTATGCTGATGTTGCAAATTAAATAGGTGTAAAAGCATAGGCCTCTAGTGCCAAAAAAAAAAAAGACCTCTCCCTATAAACAAAAAGGGAAGGATGAGCGGTCACCTAACCTTTGAGCAAAAAGTTCAGCTTTACTTGCAGCATCAGGGACAGAGGTATCACTCTCAGCATGCTTCCTATACCAAATCAAAGTTAGAAATAATAATATCCTTGCAATAACATAAGATCACACTTCACTAAAATAGAATTGATCCACATCAACATTTTTAATCCTTAGACAGTAAAAAAAAGTATATTTGTTGGTTCTATGACAACTCAAATTATAAGTCATCACTGCCAAAAAAGGGCATGGGAGATATGAATTTCTGAAAGAGAAATGTGAACCACATATACAAAAACAGTTATTTTTAACCAATAAAAAAATAGATAAGTTATGAATGAAGAACCTTCAACCACATGCCCCAGTTTTGTTTTGGGAAAAATAAACTTCTGTCTGGGAGTTTGGAGGGGAAGGGAGACCTTCCAAAAAAGGGAAGGATTAAATGGAAAGAATTGAAGGATTTTGGTTGGGAGAGTTTGTTTTATTCATAACACCAAAAGCCCCCTAATTTGGGGGAACTCAATTTGTTTTGAAGGAGGGTTATATAAATTTTTCAAATATGAATTATGTTGTTATTGTTGGTGCAAAGATAGAATAAATGATGAAATAGGAAAATATTCTATTAAAGAGAATGACGGCTACAAAACATGATATTTTGGTTACAATGATTGTCACCCTATTTATAAGCTAAAACTAGGGTTAGTAGAATAAGATAAATACTAAAATACCCTCTAACAAACTTATGGGCTTAAGAAAGTAATATAAAATATGAATTATTACTAATACCATCCCTTAATTCATATTCCATCAAAATTTGTAACACCAATTCCATCCCTTAATCTGAGAAATTGATCAGTCTTAATAGCTTTCGTCAGAACATCTGCCAACTGCTTCTGAGTGCTGCAGTGTACAACTTCTAACACTCCACTCTGAACTTGATGTCTCAGAAAATGATACTTGGTCTCAATATGCTTGCTTCTCCCATGCAGCACTGGGTTTCTGGCAAGGTTGATTGCAGACTTGTTGTCAATCATCAACTTCAGAGGTTTGCTTACTTTAATCTTCAGATCCTGCAACAGATTCAGAATCCACACAGCTTGGCATGCAGTAACAGCACCTACAATGTATTCAGCTTCACAGGTTGACAACGCCACAACAGGTTGCTTCTTGGAACACCAAGAAATGGAACCTTCCAGAAATTTGAACAAGTACCCAGATGTACTTCTTCTGTCAACTCTGTCTCCACACCAATCAGAGTCTGAATAACTCAGAAGTTCTGACTCATTATTTCCTCCAGAGGGAAATAACACTCCATACTTCAGAGTTCCTTTGATATACCTCAGAATCCTGACAGCAGCTTGGTAATGGGACCACTTAGGTTTACTCATGAACCTACTAACCATCCCAACTGAGTAGCAGATATCAGGTCTGGTATTGCACAGATACCTCAGAGAACCAACCAACTGTTTGAAGGTTGTAGCGTCCACATCCTTTCCTTCAGAGTCTGAATCCAGTTTCTGATTTGTATCAGAAGGTGTGACAGCCATCTTACAATTCTTCAGATCAAATCTCTTCAGAAGTTCTAATTCATACTTGAGCTGATGCAAAATGATACCTTTCTCAGAATATCTGAACTCTATCCCTAGAAAGTATGTCATTTTGCCTAGATCAGTCATTTCAAATTCATTCATCAGAACTTTCTTTAACTTGGCTATCTCCTGTTCAGAACTTCCAGTCAATAGTATATCATCAACATATAAACATACCAGAGTCATATTGCCTTCAGAAGTATGTTGAACATAGACACCGTACTCCATCTCACATTTCTGAAAGCCTTGCTTCTTGAAAAATGAATCAATCTTCTGATTCCAAGCTCTGGGCGCTTGTTTCAATCCATATAGAGTTTTGTATAATCTGTACACCATCCCTTCCTGATTCTTTTTCACAAATCCAGAAGGTTGTGACACGTAAACTTCTTCTTCTAATGGACCGTTCAGAAATGCAGATTTTACATCTAAATGCATCAGAGGCCAATTCCTGTTAGCAGCTATTGCAATCATCATTCTGATTGTTTCATGTCTTGCTACAGGTGCAAACACTTCAGAGTAATCCAGCCCAGGTTTTTGTAGAAATCCTCTGGCTACCAACCTTGCTTTATGTTTGCCAATTGAACCATCTGGCTTTAACTTCTGCTTGAAAACCCATCTGACGCTGATGGCTTTCTTGTCTTTTGGAAGTTCTGTCAGCTTCCAAGTCTTGTTTCTCTCTATAGCATCAAGTTCTTCTTTCATGGCCTTCAGCCAGAGCTTCTGCTTAAGAGCCTCCTCTGTACTTATAGGTTCAGAGTCTACTAACATGGCACACTGAATAACTTCTCCTTCAGAGTCTACTTCAGTGTCTTGCAGCATGTCAAATTCTGCAAATCTTCTGGGAACGCTTCTGATTCTTTGTGGTCTCTGAACTTGTTCAGAGTCTTGGGCTTCAGATGATTGACTTTCTCCAGAGCTTTGACCAACTTCAGGATCTGGCATATTTCCAGAGTCTTGAACTTTAGAATTTCTAGCTTCAGAGGCTTGACTTCCTCCAGAGCCTTTGCCATCTTCAGAGTCTGGATCATCAGAGTCTGGATCATCAGAGTCACCTTCATCTTCTGAGTCTTCTCCAGAGTCAGAATCACTATCAGAGTCAGAATCAACATCAGAGTTTACTTCAACTTCAGAAATTCTTAACTCTGACCTTTCTTCAGAAGTTCTAACATCAGAATCAGATTGAGACTTATCCCAATTCCAAACTTCTGATTCCTTCACAATCACATCTCTGCTGAATTCAATTTTATTGGTTTCTGAACAATAGAGCTTGTATGCACCTGTACTGTGGTACCCTATCAGAATCATCACTTTGCTTCTATCATCCAGCTTCTGTCTTCTGGCTTCTGGAACATGTTTATAGCAAACAGAACCAAACACCTTCAGATGACTAACACTTTGCTTGTCTCCAATCCACTTCTGCATAGGAACTATTTCCTTCAACTTCTTCGTAGGACATCTGTTGAGTACATACGTTGTAGTGGCAACAGCTTCTCCCCAGAGCTTCTGAAGAAGCTTCTTCTCCTTTAGCATGCTTCTCACCATATCAAGCAAAGTACGGTTTCTTCTTTCAGCAAGACCATTGTGTTGAGGGGTATAAGGAGCAGTAACCTCATGCTCAATTCCATTCTCCTCACAGAACTTCTGGAACTCTTTGGAGTTATACTCACCTCCACCATCAGTTCTAAGAATCTTCAACTTCTGACCACTCTGATTCTCAGCCTTCATTCTGAACTTCTTGAATTCATCAAACACCTCGTGTTTGAACTTAATAAGGGATACCCATGTCATTCTTGTGAATTCATCAACAAACAGCACAAAGTATTTATTCCCTCCAATTGATGCTACTGGAAATGGACCACACACATCAGAGTGTACAACTCCCAAGGCATGTTTTGCTCTTGGAGCAACTTCTGATGCAAATGGCAATCTTGGTTGTTTTCCTTCCATGCAAACTTTGCATGACTTTTCAGGCTTCTTAATTGCAGGAATTCCATGTACCAATTTCTTTGAATTCAGATGTTGTAAGCTTCTGAAATTCAAATGACCAAATCTTTTGTGTCACAGCTCACTCTCCTTCTCAGTACTGCAGTTCTGACATTCACCTTGAATGTTCTATTCCTTCCCTGTTCGGACTCCATAATCAACTTCTGATTACAGTCATACAGCTTCAGAAGATTGTCCTTCATGGTAACTGAGAAACCTTTCTCAATTAATTGTCTCACACTCATCAGATTGCTTCTGATGCCAGGTACATACCACACATTCTGAATCAATGCTATTTTCCCATTGTTCAGAGTCACTCTGACATTTCCCATACCTTCTGCATTAAGATATTTGTCATCAGCACATCTGATCTTTGTTCTCTTTTCAGAGTCAAAGTCAATCAGCCATTTCTTGTTTCCAGTAAGATGATTTGAACAGCCAGTGTCCATATACCACCAGTCTGTCAGATCATCAGATTCAGAGGCCATCAATAGCACAGATTCGTCATCAGAACTTCTGGCTATATTTGCTTCTTCTGATTTCTTCTCCTTGTTTGACCAACAATCTCTAGCAAAGTGACCAAACTTCTTACAACAGTAACATTGGATCTTCTTCTTGTCATACTTCTCTTTTCCCTTCTGAGCATTCTTTTGTCTATCAGAGGTTGAGGTTTCTGACTTCTGACCACCATCAGATCTTCTCTTGGCTTCTGACTGCTTCTGATACCTCCTATCAGAAGTTGCTTTCAGAGCCTGCTGCTCTACTTCCCTTTCAGAAGTTCTCTCAGTCAAACGCAACTCTTGCGCTTCTAAACTGCTTTGCAGCTCTTCAATTCTCATGGTACTCAGATCTTTGGAATGTTCTATTGCTACCACAATGTAATCAAATTGAGAGGTAAGGGATCTCAATACCTTTTCCATGATTGTTTCTTCAGAAAGAGTTTCTCCACACGCCTTCATCTCATTAGTGATCAGAATCACTCTGGAGATGTATTCAGAAACTTTCTCATTATTCTTCATGTTGAGATTCTCATATTGCTTTCTCAAGGACTGAAGCTTCACCTTCTTCACTGATGCGTCACCACCATAACATCTAACCAGTGTGTCCCACGCAGCCTTTGCTGTCGTTGAATCTGCAATCTTCTCAAACACATTTACATCAACACATTGATGAATAAAGAATAATGCTTTCTGATCCTTCTTCCTTACTTCCTTTTGCGCGTTTTTCTGTTCATCCGTTGCATCTGCTGCTACCGGAACATAACCATCAGTGACAAAATCTAAAACATCTTGAGCACCAAACAGTACACGCATTTGGATCATACAACGATTCCAGTTTTTACCGTCAAATACTGGAAGTTTGGTGTTCATGTTGCCGTTTCCGTTCATCTTCACCTTGCACAATACACTCAGATTTCTCACACAGTGTTTCCCAACCCACAAAATAAAACACGAATCTAAGAATCAAAATCAAACACACAAGACCTCACGTTCACTCGTGTTTCCCGTGTTTCCCAATGAATCTGAACCGGAGCTCTGATACCAATTTGTTGGTGCAAAGATAGAATAAATGATGAAATAGGGAAATATTCTATTAAAGAGAATGACGGCTACAAAACATGATATTTTGGTTACAATGATTGTCACCCTATTTATAAGCTAAAACTAGGGTTACTAGAATAAGATAAATACTAAAATACCCTCTAACAAACTTATGGGCTTAAGAAAGTAATATAAAATATGAATTATTACTAATAGTTATAGTATTCTAAAAACTAAAAATATAGTAATAATAAACCGTCTTTTAACATTCTATACAAAATCATTTTTCAAAAAATGTCAAATATTTTCCTATATTTAAAAAAAAAAATTGTTTTCGAAAGCATTCTCTTCCCCTCCCCTCCAAACTCCCAAACAAAGTCTAAGTGTAGGTTTGGTTCCACTTTTGAACACAGCAAATTGATTTTGATATGTTTGAATGTTCTCGAGTAAAATTGATTTTTCCTACATAATTGATTTTAGCACGAAGGTAGAATTTGGGGAAGCATAGATAATTTTACGTTCAACTCAATTCATACAAAAACAATATTTATAACAGTAGAACCAATGACCTAGTAAGAGAGAACATACTTGAAGGATGGGATACCACAGTATAAGAGATTAATCCAAGATAACTCAGTGGGAGTGGGGACAGTTGGGTCATCAGAAGGAAACCTCATAGGAATGCTACACGCTTTGTAGCTGTTAGTATCAGTATCATCCACCAACAAAGAGAACCTTACCAGCTCTGATCTACTACTCTCCATTACTTCTTCTGAAATAGACACGATCCAATTAACAAAAGGCTACAAATAAGTACAACAGAATATTACTTTCAGTGTGGCTTTTTATCAAACAGTATGCATACATACCTACAAAATGTATAATTATGAATGTAATGTAACGTACCCATGATAACAATATTAATTAAGTTCAGGGAACTGTGTTACCTTGTGTTTTGAAGTGTGGTGATTGATTGACGGAGAGAGAATTAACCCTGCAAGAAACAGCATGTGAATGGAAGGATAATAGTGAAGATGATGCAAAAATATTCCAAGGGCTGAACCTATGAGTTTGAATTGGTGTTGGTGATGTTATAAATGGTTTCACTATCATCATTGAAATGAAGCTTCTAATACTACTAACTTGTATTAGGAAATTAAGTCTAGGTTAAAAGTTTTGTTGAATATTGAAAATATAATAATGAAAATATGATATTTAATTGTTATTTTTGTATGTATTAAATTAAACGAAATTGGTATAGATTAGATATTAGTGAACGAATGAATTGGAAAATTGGAAACAATATTTCAGGTGTGTGTGAATTAATAATGTTTGTGTGGATAGGATAACAGTAGATTGGATAGGATTAAAATTGGAAACTAATAAAATGGAAGAAAAGAATGAAATAATAATATGCAGGATGTATAGCTTGAGAGACATACCTCTGGAGTTTGATTATGGACCGTTATTCTTGATAGCATTCATTAGGTTCTTAACCACCCATTCCAATGTAAGTCACGCTGGAAATTCAACTCCCTGCTTTTCTGGATAAATTCTCTCCAGTGTTATTTTCACTAGAGATGATGCACTTGATATCGCTACCTTTAAAATCTTAGATTCAAATATCTTATGTGGCTAAAATTTCACAGGACAATCTATTCACTTGCTTTTGCCCTTTGTTTTTACTAGAACTAGAAAAATTACTCTGTTAATAGTTTTATAAATAAATATAAAATTAAGAGTAATATATATATATATATATATATATATATATATATATATATATATATATATATATATATATATATATATATATATATATATATATATATATTACTATTTTATTTTCGACACACTCAATATTAGTCTCATATGTCTATTTTGTTATTTTAGATTGTCAGTCATATTTCATCTTAAAACAAATATACAATTTATAATAAAAAAACATATGTTTTGATAGATTTCATATATCCGAAATATTACGAGAGATATATCTTTTGAATATTACCGGAAATGCATCTCCAAAACAATTCAAATATAAATTATTTTTAAAAAAACATATTTTAAATATTTAAAATAATTTTAAAAAAATATCTTTGAAATATATCAACATTTATTGAATAAATATGTCTGAAAATTTAAAACCATAATTGTACAGGACGGCTAAAAACTACTAGTATCTATATTTTTATCTCGCGCGCTATTTGGCTTTAACTTTTGGCTTGTTTTTATTCATTGCTCGGGGATTCCCCTTCTTTTCCACAAAAAACAAAACGTTATCAAATTCGGTGCATGAAAAGCTTCAAAATTCAATAAACAATCCATATAACACGGGAAAATGTTTAATTTGTTACTTAAATAATAACATCAATTACTTAAAAAATAAAAAGTTAGGAATATTCTTGCTGCCTGCAAACTTACTTTGAAAATGTCACTAAGTGACCAAAATAACTTTAAAATTTGGTCCGAGACATTTTATACATGAAAAGTTTTGAAGGCATCTTCTACTTTAAAATTCATACAGAACTCTAGAATCGGTTATGAGCATTAAAAAAAGGGCTAGTAAAACTTTAACTATTTAAGTCTCATAAATATCTTATTATTGAACTATATGTAATTATGAAACTTACCTCAATTTATTCAGGAAACAAACATAAAAATTTAAGTAACTAATGTATCTATATTAAAAAGATGATGGCAATATCTCTAGTTATAGAAACAGTTATACTCACCAATTAATTTATTTACTTGAAAACCATACTAGAATCTGAATTACAAAAAAGAAAAGTGGCCTTTTATTAACAAGAGAAAGGTAAGTTAAGAAGCTGATATGCAAATTCTTCATTCACAGCAAAATAACAGTTTACGTCGCATTCACTCACACTTAATTTAGCATCCATATTATATATAAAATGTAAACAACTACAAAAATAATAATAGCACAACAAGTATCCTATATCTAACTGATACCATACTGAGTAAACAAAACATTACAAAAGATACATCAGAGGAACAAAACAACCACGTGGAAAACTAACACCTACCACTAAACATTGCAACTTTTGACACATGATGATGACAACCACAATTCTGTCTTGGCAAGTTAATTTCGAGAGCATCAGTATAGTGTGAGGTTGAGTCAGCTCAAGAATTTGATTGGCTATGATTAGAATCCTTTTCAGGTAAAGGATCTCTGTCGTCGGCAGATGAATTGTTCCTAGAGTCTTGAACGTTGTTGTTGTTGTTGTTGTTATTAAAAGAAACAATCTTCTCTTCTTGAAATGCAGCAGGTGTCATAATAGGTTTCACACCGCCGAAACTTACTTCATTAGACTTGTGATGATGGTTAACATGTGGAGGAGGGTGATTATGTGTAATGGTTGGTATGTTATATTCCATCCTCTGCTTCTTGCTTTTGTCCTCTAGATGGTGGTTAGGAAGGAAACTTCCCACGACAACCTGATGCATGGACAAGATAGTGAGTGTTGGAAAGAGGTTATAACACTTTCCGTTTATCAAACATACTATTGAGGATTACCTGCACGGGACCAGAAGCTATAAGCAAACCGGCGAGCCCGCCACCTAATACTCGACCATCCGGACCTGCCAAAGAGACGCTCATTCCACCAGATCTGCTTTTTGTAATTCCATTATCAGTTGGCATAAAGGAACCAGATAAGGAAAGAATCTCAAACCGTCCCTGTAAAAGCACATGGTGTGAGGTATGAAACTTGAAGATATCTGGAATCAATACATAGAATAAAAGAGGGCAAGGGCTGTATGTAAATGAAGGATATTATGGTACATATTTTCCAATCTGATAGAGAAACAAATGAATGCATTATTTCATTTTTTAAACAGATAGACACGGTATTGAACTCACCTCGTATGTTAAAGTACTCCCTGAAGAAGTCGATTGGCGTAGTGTAACATTTGAAATTGTGCCAGTTGCAGAGAGAATGCATATAGCACGTGATCCTTGTTGGGAGGACATAATTTTCATGGTGACATCCTAAGACATAGCATAGAAAATCACAAATGCAAATGAGACAACATACACAACCACTAGACCCATATAATAGTAAAAATCCATATCTGCTATATCACATCACTATTACATATTGCAACAAAAAATGAACAGTACCAAGCTAATGTTAATACATTATTCATAATTCGAACACATTTAAGGCATTCATACATACATGAATTGATTGGTGTAGACTTATAGTAACATCATAACTTTACTTCAGGATATAGGCACTAAAAGGGAAATGAATAAATTACCTCGCCAGAATTCACTGTAAGCATATAAGCCATGAAATTGGCACCTACTGCTTTTGCAATTCCCTCACCTGCAACTGCACCTGCACCTGCACCTACACTTACACCTACATAAATTACATAAAGGAAGGTCAGTTGATGGAAAAAGACAGGAAATGTAATATGGTATTTACTCATATGACTTAAATTAAGAACTACGAATTTTTTTTGTTCTTCAAGAGTATTTCATGGATTTTGAAGTTATCATTTAATTTTTCAGAAAAAAGGGAGAGAGACCTCAGAGTCCCTCATTTTGTAGCTCCTCTCAAAGTTCTACCTAAATCCTTCTATGATTCTCTCCATCCAAACACACACTTTGACCAAAATACCTCCCCTGCCAAATTTAAAATTCATTTCAACACATTTGACTGCAATATTGTTTGATACTACCGTTCTACGAGACCACATAGTCTCCATAATAATGGATAAGTTCCTATATTGCAATCTATTATTCAAATCAGCCAACAAGGCAACTAGTAAGCTAAGAAGATGTTAAAATTAATTATTATATATTACATTTAGACCAGTTCTAGCTGGTCCCTTCATTTAATCTCATGCAATCTTTTACTTCTTCTCATAAAGGAAAATAAGATGCATCATATATGCTACCCTAAACATAAACAAAAACTACTTTCAAGTTTCAACCACAAAAATATCCAAATCCACCTCACAATTTGTACTCAGATCTGAAAAGGAATCTCAGCTATGGGTCCACTCTACTCCCCACCCCCAAATGTAAACTCAATCACAATTCACAAGCAAAAATACAAAATTGCATACTAAAAACACATATCACAGAAAATAACTACCTCCATATCAATTAAAATTCAAACCAAAAATTAAAATTAAAATTAAAATTAAATTCAATTATTCTATGTTTATCCTCTATTTAAAAGGAAAATGACACAAGAGCTATTAGACTAGATACATCATTTCTTAAAAACTGCAAATATATGTTATAACAGTAAAAACAAAATCTTAAAAACATAAATATAACAGTCAAACAAACACAAAGACTTACTAAAATTAAAAGCTTCAAAATATTTCAAACTTGAAATCAAAAAGATCAAAAAGCTATAAATAATACCTTGTCCTGGTGGACTTTCAAAATCAAACTTAAAAGATGATTTCTTGATAGATTCAACAGGCTTCCCTCCACCCCTTTTCCAAGCAGAGAACTCTCCGGTCAACGGAATCGACGAAGAAATCGGCATCGGCGAAAGTGCTGTTACAGCCCCAGGAGCAGGCTTCCCGTCTGGCCCATACTTCCTTGGCCTCCCCCTCTTCTTCTTCATCGCCGTCATCGGCATCGGTACAGGCACCGTAGCCATGGAAAAATCCAAGTTGTTTTCAATCCTGGGAGCTCCATGGAAGCTCACTGCGACTTGATTACCCGCCACTGCATTCACAGCACCAAAATTCTCTCTTTCCTCCATTTTCATGCAAATCATAGAAAAACTAAGAAACCCAACACTTCTAAATTTGATCTAAACCCTAACCATTGGAGAATCTAACGTTTTCACAACCTAATCACACTAAAAAAAACTCAGAAAAACTCAAAATTAACTTCAAAAAAACAGATTTTGATGCAGAAAATTTCACAACCCCAGATTAAACTTCAAAAACAGCAATTTTTGTAAGAAATTTTTGAAAAATGAAGACCTAGAAATGGAATTGAAACAGTTGACCTTGGTCTCCGAGAAAATCGCAGCTTCAAATCTGCACCATTGTAGAGAACACAGAAAACTTTGAAATTACCAGAAAAAAATTCTACAAATTCCAAAATTACAAAGAAA